GGGGTGGGACCAGACCGGGAAGGGCTGGAGATTTGGGGATTGGGCTGCAATTGGCGCCTTTTCCTCCCTCTGGGGGCGGGGGGCGGAATACCCGTCTCCTGGGCCCTTCCTGGCGCAGCGGCGCGGTTAGCGGTGCGCGGCGCGCCCCGCGCCGCCCGCGCCCTCGCTCGCTCTATATTGGCCGTGGGGCTGGGCCGGAATTGGCAGACGGCGCTGGCTCTTGGCTACACTCCCACGGGCCGTGGGCCTACGTCTCTCTTTATATCATTCCCCCCATCATTTGCTACGCCCCTCTGCATTTTTCTCCTCCATGCTGCGCGCCCCCCACCTCTGTGGATGGAGTGAGAACCCCGTTTCAATCCCTGCTCCCAATAGCCCAACCAAAGCCCGTGGGTAGACTGAAGCTGTGGTGTCCCGGGCGTCGCACGGCCCCACCTCTCTGCGGGGCCTGCGCCCTCTCTTCCCCACCCTCGGCGAGGCCCCTTCCTCCCTCCACCGGTGTCCTGGGGGCAGCCAGTTTGCCACCCTTTTCCCGTCCATCAGCTCACCCCCCTCCCCGGTGAGGGGGAAGGAGCCCTCCCCACCGCCGGTCCTCGCCCCCGGNTCCTTTCTGTGCACCTTGCGGTAGGCAGCGCGCGGCGCCGGCGGCTGCAGCCGCGGGGGCCGTGCTCGGGGAGAGGCGGACTTAGGGACCGCGGACGGACGGACGGACGGAGGGTAGCCTCCCCGAGCCCCCGCACCATGGCCGAGAGGAAGCCATCCGGCAGGGCGGCCGAGGAAGAAGAGGTCCCTGCCTTTTTTAAAAACCTGGGTTCGGGCAGCCCCAAGCCCCGGCAGAAATTCTGTGGCATGTTCTGCCCGGTGGAAGGGTCCTCGGAGAACAAGACCATCGACTTCGATTCGCTGTCGGTGGGCCGGGGCTCGGGGCAGGTGGTGGCTCAGCAGCGGGATGTCGCCCACTTGGGCCCCGACCCGCAACCACCGCACTCGCGGCAGGGCCGGCGCGCCGGCGGGGAGCCATCTGTTGAATCGGGCCGGAAGGTGGAGATCCGGCGGGCCTCGGGCAAGGAAGCCCTGCAGAACCTCTACGACCAGGTCGGTGTGGGGGAGGGGCTCGGGGCCGCGG